ATCCGTTAACAATATGATTCAGTAAATCAGGTAATTCTTTTCTCTCGTTGACATCATATAGAGACCTATTAGATGTGTCTTCAATTAACGCTTGTAGTAATTCGTCCAACATTTCGTTAGATACATTCGTCATTGAAAAATATTTTTTTAAATGAAAAATTTGTAATGCCGCAGAGGTAAGTGGATGTAAACGTTTACACCGATTAAAATGCTTGCTATCTAAAAAACTGTTAGCAGAGCCAGCGGCTAATACTTCTGCTGAAACTAATACTTTCACTAATCCACAAGAGTCGATATATTTTCCAATAGCTTTGAAAAACGCCATTTGCATGTGGAATGCTCCCAGATTTATAAAAATGTGATCGAATTTAGGCTTCTCTTTCTCTTGGATTTGCATTGCCATTTTTGCGATAGCTAAATCGTATGTTACGATGATCTGACTTTGTTGAAATTTTTCTGCAATTTCATAAGCCATATTGAGTGTTTCATTTACTATTGCATAAGAAGTCGGAGATGAGTTAATTTGAGGCAAATACTCGATTTTTTGAATTTCACTTTGATCTGTAGACATCATGCAGTTGTAGCCCAACCACATTGGAACAAAATTTAATTGCGATAAAGACATTATCCATAATAAATCTTTATTTATCGCAAGTTTTGTAGCGCCTTTGCATACATTCATTGTATTAATAAACGAATCTACAGGAAGAAGCTGCATAGTTGTTTTAGGTTTTGCAAAATATGGTTGAACGTCTCTTGAAATTGCACTAAAACGTCTTCGCTTACGTGATGGTCCCTGTTCACCTTCGTTATCATCCAGCAGAGAAGTTGAAGAAGTCGCAGCTCCTATGTATTCAGTTTCTGCACAAGGAAATTGATAAATAATACCAACCGTATCTTTCCCCGATGTTGTGTCAACAAAACGGTCAAAATTGTCAAATGCGACGTGGGTACTGCATCCATTTACTGCAGTAATACCGGTCGGAATAACCTTATTATCTTGAAACGATGTATAGGTCATCTCTGTTTCAAGTTCTTCAGCTAAATTATATCCGATCGTATGACCGTATCTGTTCAGTATGGTAATAACTTGCCGAGAGTTTGTTAAAGATTTAATTGCTAGTCCAAGAGTAATATTTTTTGCTGGTTTACATCGACCATTTGTAACTGTGTAAATTATATCACTACAAATAGATCTTATTTTCAATGTGTTATCTTTGCTATCTGTATGTGCAATGTCTGGTCCATTTATAAGATTTTGCATAAAATCAAGTAATTCTTCAGGAATTTCACACTCTCCACGAATAACATCCTCAGCAGTTAATCGGCTAGGTAATCGATTAGGATCTATCTGCTTGATACAATTTCTTAAATAATATGCAACATCTTCAATCTTTCTTTCATTTTTTTGTTGAAGAAGTTGACATTTATTAATAATTAATTTGTAAACAATTTTTTGATTACGTGTTCCGGTAGACGCTTCAATTATTATTTGGTCCCCAAATCGTTTCAACAATTTTTTTTCCACCATTTCTGGCCTATAATCTTTTATGTCATCAAGATTTATTGCATTTTTTCCTCACTCTAACAATAAAGCTTGATAGCGTACAAATATTTGGGCGAAATACATAACTTTATTACTCTCTATAATTTCACTGATAATAAAATTTGAAATTGATTCAAGAGCTAAGTTATGTAAGTGTCTATATTTATGCCAACTGGAATCGACATGTTCTTCGGTCGACCGCCTTGCTTTTGTTTGATACGCAGCATAACAGGGTTTATGGTAAGCAAGAGTCTGATTTTTGAGTTTTTGAAGGATCTCCGAATCTTGTTATCCGCCATTGCTTTTAGTTGCTGTGTAGTTTGATCACCCTGAGGAAACACAAGAGTCAGGACATGCTTTCCAGATTTTTTTTGTTTGCAATTACAAAACATGCAAGTTATTGGAATTGCAGATGTAGAAACTACCTAAAAATAAAAAAATTCTTACAAAATAAACAGTAAAAATACTTGTTAATCAATGATTTATTAATATTTAATGGATCCTTAGTAACTGTTAATGAAATTTATTAACTGTTTATAAATATTTCTTTTTAATAAATGATTTTTTTAATGTTAAAAATATTTGTTTATACTTAATAAATCATAAGTTTAATTCCAAACAAATGTTTTCATTAAAAGTTAACAAATCCTTTGATCAGTATAAATGGTAGAAATTAGTAATACAGTAAAATCAGCAAAACTTATATCAGTTAAGCCATTTACAAGGTTTTTAGTTAACTTTTATTAAAATTAATACAAGACATTGACTTATGGAAATAAATTAATTACCTGGTCAAAATCCTCAGTAACAGGAGTTAATAAATACGCACTACTCTCTTTATCAGTAGTTGTTGTACTTGCATTTGGAGGTATTGGATAGTCATTAGCAATTGAAGTACTTGGATGCACCTGAATATATTTTATGATAGGAATTAAAAACGCTATTGATTATATACTTACTTCAATATTTTTAACAAATTCATTAAAATCTTCATTGTAGATTTTTTTTAAAACAGTCACTTTTTTATAACATGAGGAGTGATATCCTACCAAGTCTATTAAATGTTCGTTTAACTGTACCTCACTATACTTAAAGTCTTTAGATTTTCGGTACGCTAACTTCAAAAAACAATTCTCAAAAGATTTTTCATCAAAGTCAATCACTGATTCTCTTGATTTACATAAAAAACACTTCTTCGCCATTTTTATTTTTTTCACAAAACATAATTGATGTGACAGCTCGATGTCACCTTGACATTGACGGAAAAGTTTTATTCACACAGCCACAATATAGCTGTATAAGTTTTTTTTGTTAGCGATAGTACATCTTTGCTTGCTCCAATTTTTTTATTTAAAAGTCTAGCAACCGTTATTTATGAACGGATTTTTCAAAGCAACCCTATACCTACTACTGTATTCGTAATAAAATTGCCTTCATTTTGATATATTTTTTAAGTGGTAAGCATATGAGTGCAATTACTGTTATAAACTTACTTGTTTGTACAAAGCAACCAGGTAATAGGGACCAGAAAAAGGTAGGCAACCTAGCTGTTACATATTCTGTATGTTGTATGCTTTCCATTGGAATTTCGTTCATTTGGCAAGCAAGTCGGTGAAATTTAAAAAAAAAATATTTTTTTAATTTTTTATTTATTATAGCCATGACTATTTTTTATGGCAACCCTATTGGTTTATGTTCAGAAACATATTTTATTTGATAAAATATAATTTTCATCTAGTAAGCAGATGGGTGAAGGTCGACCTTACTTGGGATCTTAGACTACTAGGTGCGTCGATTTTTATGACGAGCAGTTTATATGAAATAGGAGTTGCGAAATGCGAATATTCGTATTTCGCATCTATATGAAACCACTTTTAAAATTGCACATTTATTGGTGGATTTGGTTGCTCAACAGTGTTGCCATATATAACATGATTATCGAAGTGTAATATTTTTTTCTTAAAAAAAAAAGATTAAAATAGTTATCTGTACCATAATCGATCATATATAGTAACATAATTTATTCTCCTAGAATAACGTATTACGGTACAGTTGTAATAATTTTCTGAAAAATCCAATAATTTTGTTAATTTTCTCATCTGGCAACACTGTTGCTCAACGAAATTGGGCAGTTTGATGATAGTTGCGGACGCACGTACTTGTAATATTTGGCCAATCAAATTCAATCTGTTTAGTAAATCTTTGGCCAATTAATTCTAACCCAAACATTGTTTGCTGAGGTAGTTGAGGAACGGTTGAATCGAATGCGGTATCCATTTTTTGGAAAAAAATTCCTAATGGTCGATCTCTAAATTTCGACCAATTTAGCAAATCTTAGCAGGCCTTAAGGCATATAAATTTAAAATTTTCCACTTGGTCACTTTTTATTTAAATGTCCCAAAAACAAAAAATATTAAAATCGTTCAACGCGGTCTTAAATCGCACACACTTATACACAGAGAAAAATTTTCACATAACTGGTTGTTGGTTATTTGTTAGCTTCGTAAACTGATGTGAAATTACATAGATTGTGTAACATAAACATATATATATTTTAAGGTTAAATTGAAGAAAATTGGTATAAAGAATCTAGCAACACTGCCTGGAGGGACAAAATCGGAATCCCAGCACAAAAATACGCTGGTTTTTGTCAAATACAAAATCTACAATAGATCACAGAACATAAGCAATAGATTAAGTAATTTACGAAGGATTTCCACGACGGATGGGTGAAATATTTAAAGAAACATAATGTCTAGAGTCCCGTCAGACGGGTCTCCATTGTGCTCCCGTTAAATCTTTTGAAAGGTATTTGTCAAAAAATGCATTTTAAATTTTCACACGTTTAAAACAAAATATTTACCTACCTAAATTCTCAATTTTCTTAACTTGATTATAGGATATATTTAAGGTATCTAAAATGGGACACCCTTCCAAATTCTCGATCTTCTTTATCAAGTTATAGTGCAAAAATAGCGACCTCAACCCTTTTTGGTTGTCCAATCCGCTAATCTCTTTTATACCGTTGTTTTCCAACCACAAACACTTCAAACCAGTGTACTCTTCTAAATTTTCTATATAGGAAAATCCTTTGAAATGCAGATACAAAACATCGTTTAATTTTGGCGTTTGGTACAATCTATGTTCCTTGCAATGTTTTTTTATGAATTCTTTAGTCATTTTTGGACCTTTTAGGAGTTTTTGTAAGTCGCTTTCTTCCTTTTGTGCATTGGTAAGATCATTTTTTAATTCTACACGATTTTCTACAATCGCAGACATTTTTAAACTTCAATTATTGACAAAACACAGCTTAACAATGTTGGCCTTGAGTTAAACATATTTTTTTCTATGGTTAACATGGCAACCACAGACCAGTCTGTGGCAACAGTATATTTGACATTTTTTTTAGGTTTGCAACAAATTTTGACAGATTGATGATAAAAAAGCATTAATTTTGTATATTTTTATTATAAATAATTAACTAGGTTTACAACTGGCATTATCACCGTGATTGGGCGGTTCCATTTGCTTAATTTCTTCTATTAAACCCTTCTCAAACTCTAACATTTCCTTAGGTTTTTTATACTGCAAAAACAATTTATGAAAACTTTTTATAAATAAACTTTTACCTAGTAAACTTACAGTAATAATAAGAGTATTAAAATTGTGAGAATACGACAAATTTTCTTTACTCAAAGGCAGTTTAAGCCTCACCATATCCACAACTGTAATTTTCTTAAAATACTTCTTATTTGTTGTTCTTACAATAATACATTTATCATCGTTATCAATACTTATTGAATAAACATCAAATGAATAAGGTAAGTTCCTAACACGCCATTCAATATTGATCCTAGTCAACCTTTTACTCAAAAACGGCTAAAAACGCAGAAATAACACCCGAAACACCCTAATGTAACCTCAAAATACCTGTGTCGAGCTTTCCTTAATAACCCCTTCCTCCTTATTGTAAGTAGGCTCAGGGTCCCCCAGCTCGATCTCCCATTGGTCCTGATCGCCGATCTTGGTGCTTTTTTTCCACGCCCTCCTTGTAACTACATATGTATCCATGTTATATTCTTCGACCATAATTTTGCCATCATCAAAGTCATATCTCACTCTTTTTAGTTTATTGTCGACCATGCAGGATTTTTTAGCGTTTTTTAGGTAAGTACTCCACTCCATGGTCATGTTTCATTGATTTAAAGCGTTGTTTTGTCGAAAAACTTACATAGTTGTTTATAGTGTTGCTATGTAGGGTTATTAGGTGACAGTAGTTCATTTGTACCGTAGTTTAATGGCCTACCGAGTAATGGCGTTTGGTTTATTTAATTTCTTCTTCTCCTTTTTTCAAAAAAGTTTTTTGGCTTTTCCCTTCCGGGATTTGGCCCATAGATAATAAATCATGATTTGGCCAGCTTAAACTTTTTTTCTATAACTGGGGAGGGCGAGTCTAGGAGTTCCCTATAGCCGCTCCCTTCTTTTTCAATATTAATTTTTTTATCACTGTCCCTTTTTTTACGTTTTCGTCCAATTCATAAATATTGTTACACTTAATTAAATTCAAACGTACACTTCTTTATTTCGTCTCCTTTTCAATTACAAATAATAAATAATAGGTATAATAAATTTTCGGTGTTTTAGTTCCAACCATGCACTGTTATTTCTTTAACGCCGCGTCTAGAGTCCCGTCAGACGGTTCTCTATTGCGCTCCCGTTAACAGAGTGACGTCATCAAATGACGCAATCTTAGGACGGGAAGCAGATCTTCCTTAACCAACGTCCCGAGTCCGCCCGCTTCAAATTGGGAATGTGAGGGAATGTTTACAAAAACCGTAATTATATTGCCTCTATTACATGCATGTATTAAAAAAAACAAAAATTAAAAAAATTAACACATTTTATTCTTTACTGCATTAGTAAAATAAATACTAAGAACATAAACTCAAACATTATACTCGGTGAAAAACTAAAACTCAGTGAAAAACTAAAACATTACTACTGTTGTACCTTACAACTTGTATACTTGTATAGACAAGTACAAACACACATAATAAAAAAAATAAAAAGAACCTAATTGTCCGAGTCTAACTCATTTAAACTATCGTCCGGAGAGTCAGAAGAACTGGTTTCGCTCACTTCATGGCCTGACTCTAACTCGTCAGAGTCATTATTGTTGGAGTCGCTCGAAAAGTCTAATTGAACAAAATTACCTTTATGTTTTTTATACTCTTAATATTTGTTTGTCGCGTATTGTAGATTTTATTATTCTCTGTTGTATCATTTTGTTGCTTCTCGGCCTCGGAGTCCTCGAACGTTTGTTGAGTTTCGTTTTCATTACTGTTGGTCTTTAATTTAGATTGTTTTGATCAATTTAATTAGTTCTATTAGTTGTTTGTCATTATTATTAGCTTCGTAACTTTTTTTCCAATTATGAGAAAGTCAGCTTTCCTGCTCTTTTATTTGTTAATTTGTTCCTTTTTTTATTATGTAACCAACTAAATGTACTGAATGTTCGCTCAGTTGCTGCCGAGGTTAAAGGTGCATGCAGATAAGATTTTATAAGCAACTTTAGATAGCTATCTAAATCATACAAACCTAGGTTTGTATGATTTAGAAAACCATTCCACCAATCTAATACATTAATATTTTGTACTGGTTTCCATATAAATTCTTTGGAAAAGGTAGGACCAAATCGGTTACGGTAAGCTGCCATTTCAGCTAGGAGTCTTTGATTATCAACCTGATCAGTTTCCGCCGCTACTTTATCAATAAATTCTAAAGCCTGTAAAGTTTCCTCTTCGCTTAAATAGCTACCTTGTGAGGCCGGATGTAATAAGTCAGCAGCAAAGTGGATTGATCTCAAAGCAAAATCCTTCCTGTTCGATATTATTTCTGACATTTTCTTTTCTTCAGCTTTAGACAAAGGTGACGTTTGCAAAGCACTATCTATTTTTTCCGCTATCTCTTTATAGGAGCCAAACAAATATTAGCATCATCTCCTTCAATTTTCTTAATCCAACCTGCTATTGGTTCCAATAGTTCATAAAATTTCTTAACTTGGATCCAAAAAATGTCGTCATCGAGTAAAATATTTTTGTCTTCTTTGGAAAGAATATTCGAAGCATCTTCGCTAACTGCAAGGAACCTGCAGGGTGGTTTTGCAACCAAGCAGTGATTCTAAGCAATGTGTATGGCTAGCCCATCTAGTTTTTACAGGTAATTTTAATGTCCTTTGAATATTTTTTTCTTTATTAAGTTTTGTTAAAGTACTTGACAAAACCTGTGAATTTCTGACAATTTTTACTATTCGAATTGCCTTGACAAAAAAATTGTTCGCTGAGTTTAGTTTTAGTATCTCACCAAAAATTAGGTTAAGTGAATGTGCCATACAACCATATGAAACTAAAAAGGGGTACTTTTCTTCCAAAGTCAACAACGCTTTTTTAATATTCGCCGCGTTATCCCCTATCACAGCAAAAAATTTATTTATCATTAAGCATTGTCGAATATCCTCTCTGGAGGGAGTTATTTAAAAAATTTAGACCTTCATACGAGCCTCCATCGAGGAAAGAGATATCAACAAAATATTTGGATCTCGCATATATCAATATGAAGAGTGAAATTGAAAGCAGTTTGGCTACGTCTAAAGTTCTTCATTTGCAATGTGATGGGTGGAGCAACATCCGAAACGAAGGCATTATCAATTTTGTGATAACAAATCCGAAACCTCATTTTGTTGAGTTTCTTGAAACAGGAAACAATCGTCACAGTGCTGATTATCTTAAAGAACAAATAGAAATTGTCATGACAAAATATGAATTAATTTCCCAAATGATCTCATCAAGAACTCAGGATGAGCTCAGCAATGATTCAGCTAATGAGCTCCAGGTGAGGTCCAGATGATTTCACAGAAATGCATTTGATGTCATCGTGCCATAATTTAAATTTATAACCTTAAGGTTTTTCTCTGAACTATGCAAGTGCATAACAGTGTTGCAATGGTATTAGAGCTGTGCGGTACTCAAGTACTTGTACTCAAATTTTGTACTTTAAGTACTTACTTTTTATGTACTCGGTACTCAGTCCAGAGTACATTTCAAAAAAAGTTCTTGTACTTGTACTTATAAATATATTTAAATTAAAAATGTAAAAATAGACACGAGTACATTGGTTGTACTCCATGGATCCAGTACATTTTTGTACTCGAGTACATTTTTTGTACTCGAGTACTTTTGTTGTACTCGAGTACATTTAATGTACTGGAGTACTTTTTGTACTCGGCATCTTTGTGTTAAGTTAACATAACCACTACTACATATTCAAATTTATCGCCATAATTATAATGCTTTAGCAGCTAAAGTTTAACGGTTCGGCAATATTCGGAATAAATCCTCGATATGGGCAAGTTGGTAAAATATCATTGTGGTGCCCTACTTTATAGAGATATTACATATTACAAGAGGTAGTGCCCTTTTTTATCTCTGGTAGTGCCGTCATAATGTCGTATGTAACAGTTTTTTTTTTAAGAAATTTGAGATTATTCTGCAATACAGAATATGCATTAGTATTATTTTAAGTGTTTTGGTTTTTGTTATACTGGGGTAAGTAGGATTTTAAATATTATTTTGTATTCGATTACCCACTCGATTAATTAGCTTAAAAAATAGTCTAAACATTGCTACAATAGTGTGTAAAATTTAATTCAATTATACAGAGTGGTCCCAGAGATTCTATTTTTTCAATTTTACCATGCTCTAAAGTTTGACAAAATTATTAACTTTAATAACATTACTAAAAAAGAGAATTTCAAAACAATTTTTTTACTGTGATATATGAGTCAATCCAAATGAAAACACCAAAAATGAATTTAAAAGTGCGCTGCATGATTTTTTATTTTAATGAAAAAATTTGAGGATGATCTTTTAGGTGTCAAATATGAAAATCCGTTGCCGTTTTAATTTTTTGTTGCTTTACTTTTATTTGGCACCCCTTAGAAGTCTGAAATAGTGTCAATTTCTTACTCTCTTATAGTGGGCCAGAACTTTTTTTCTGTGACAAATATTGAAATAATTTTAATTTTGTTTTACTGTTCAGTAAGTGTGTTTTCGATATAAATTATTATTATCCAATTAGTTAATCTCATAAAAGAATGGTAAACCACTAAAGATTCATGATAATTTGCCAATTTTTGTGATTTTTGTCTGGCTCCTGTGCCTATTCTACTGAATTTAGAAGGTTCATTTTTTTCAGGTATAAAGTACTTATACAATAGAAAACGTAACTATTATTTTAAGTTTCTAGACTATCAATTTCTTTATTAAAAAAATTATTGAAAATTGATAATTCTCAAAATTAGCCAATTTTGCCCTCAGAAATCATTATGTTGAGGAAAAAATAAAAATCTAAAACTTTTAGGAAATGTAGTCCCCACCTTCATCTTTTCAGTCCAGTTAGTCTTGTTTTGTTATTTTTATTCCTTTAAAAGATATATTAATTTTTGTAATGTCCGTTTAGTAGCGATATTGTTAGTTTTATTTATAATTTAAAATTTAGATGGCTTTGACTTTGTCAATTCATGTTTGGTAGAGAAATGTCAGAGCTGTCAAAAATATTTCATAAATTTTATTTGTGTGTATTTAAATTGTGATTTCAAAAAGTTTGCAAGTTTGCAAGTGTAATAAATGACGGAGTGTTCGAGATTGAGATGAATTTAATTGCAATTAAAAATGCAAGAACATATCATAATTTTGTACCTCTTTCTTATAGAAAATATTTAAGTTCTGAGAAGTTTTAAATTGTTAAAAATAAGCAAAAACCAAAACATATTCTAAATAAACCCCTTTATTATAACATGTTTTATTTTAACCAGTTACCTAAAAACTAAAATTTAAAGAAGTATTTACAGATTGTGTAAATTTTTTCCAACACTAACATTTAAAATACATACATTTAACTTTTAACTATTTAGTGCCTTACTAAAGGGATCAAAATAATAGAACAAGACTAACTTGGTTTAAATTGTGAAAGAAACCGACAAAAAACTGCTTATATATATATATATATATATATTATAGTCCGGTCAAATTAGACCAAAAAATAACAGTGAAGGTACATAAATTTACAACAAGCTGAAAATTAGTAAAATTGTTCAGAATATAATTATAAATAAAATTTTAAAGTTCCCCATCATTCCCCTGTATGGAAAAATTTTTATTCAAGGTCAAAGGTCAAAAAAATTAGTTTTTCGCGATTTTTATCAAAACGGTAAG